CATGAGTCTGTATTTGACAGAGAGGTGAACAGGCAAGGTCGCGCTCACCGCCAGGCAGCCGGGGGGGGGGGGGGGGGGGCGAGGCCCACTTCCTGCCCCAGGGCAGGAAGTGGACCACAGCATCCCCCCCGCCTGCCTGGCGGCGAGAAAAGGCTCGCCGCAGCCCCCCGTGTAAGAGCAGCGTGCGATGCCACTTCCAGCCTCCGCCACACGCGCTGAGACACCCGCCGGGCCCCCAAGGAGAGAGGCAGGGGGGAAGCCGCCCCTCTCCTCGGTCAGGCCCCCGCACCCGTGGGATAGGGGAATTAGTTGGTCCTCCAGGGTCGCAGCTGATCGCCGCTCAGGCCAGTGAAATATGGGTGGGCCCTTCGAAGGTCATGGCGCCGAGGGACGAGTGGGAGCCTCTCCGCGGACCTCGGGCTGCGCTGAGTGCTGACCCAGCGCTGTAGCCGATGACGTCCGGCTCAAACTTTGCCCGTCGCATTCGCTGAGGAGCGACAGGGCCTGCACCCACTGCCCGACCTTCCCACGCGCTCTGATCTCGGAAATGTAGCTGCAGCGTCTGGCTGCAGCGTCGCCTTCCACCACTCGCTGCGAAGCGACAGCCGATGCCACTGCCCGCCTTTCTCGCGCGCCCGACCCCAGCGTCGTAGCTGATCATGTTGGACCCCAGCTTCACGTTGGGCACTCGCGGAGCGGACATGGAGCCTGAGGCCACTGATACCTTTCTCGCACGTGCTACTGCCAGCGATGTACCTGATGACGTATGGCCAGATTTCGCCTCTCGACTCTCGCTGAGCAGCGACAGTGCCTGCTGCCACTGGCCGCCTCTCTCGCACGTGCTGATCGCAACGTTGTACCGATGGCGTCTGTCTCCAACTTCGCGGCGCGACATACGCCGAGCCGGGGCAGCGCCTGCTGCCATTGTCCGCCTTTCACGCACACTCTGATCCCACTGCTGGAACTGATCACGTTGGGCTCCAATGCCGCCTGCCGCATTTTGCTGGGCAGCGACAGGGCATGCTGCCAGCGCCCACCCTTCTCGCTCCTGATCCCAGCGCTGCAACTGATGACAGCGGGCTCCAACTTAGCTTCCCACGTTCCGGCAATAGCGCCGGAGCACGCTGCCATTCCCCGTTTTCCTGGCACACTGATTCCAGCGTCGCAGCTGACAACGCTGCGCTCCAACTCAACCTCTGACACCCACTGAGCAGCGACAGTGCGAGTTGCAATTGCTCACCCCTGGCGCACGCGCTGCTCCCAGCGCCGCAGCTCACAACGTCCAGCTCGCACCTCGCACCTCACGGCGGCCCTTGTCAGACAGCGCCGGGATGCAAGCATACCCTGTGCCCCCGTGGGATGCCTTGTGCCTGTAGTCTCTGCTACTCCCCGCGTGGAGTGCCTTGAGCACCCGCGGGACGTCTCGTGCTCGAAGCCTCTGCAGCTCCCCGCATGGACCCAGGGACGCGGCAAACGCCGAGCGTGCACGGGGGGTGGACGGGGGGTGGCGCGCCCTGGGCGGAGTGAAGACGGAGCGTGCACGGGGGATTGGCGAGTGACGGCCTTTGGGCGCCAGCACCGGGACGCAAGAGCACCTTGAGCCCCCGTGGAAGGCCCCGGGCCCGTAGCCTCGGCAGCCCCCCGCGTGCATCCAGGGTCGCGTTGTGGCCCTCCAGGGTCGCAGCTAACCGCCGCTGATGTTTGTGAGCCTTTTAGAGTGACAAACCGCTGCTGAAGTGTACAGAGGGGGTGTCGTGCCCGTAGTCCCAGCTGTTCCCCGCGTGGATCCAGGGTCGCGGCAAACCGCTGGGTTGGGTGAAGATGGAGCACCCACAGGGGGGGGCGGCAGGCCATCCTTGTCAGACCACACCGGGGTGCAAGAGTACCCTGAGTTCCCGCGGGGCGCCCGCGGGAGGAGGCGGAAGACGGCCCGGCGGACAGCAACGGGATGCCAGAGTACCTCGAGCTCCCGCGGGAGGCAGGCTGGAGGGGCCCAGAGCGGGCAGCCAGCCCCGCTAAGGGCTGGACGGGGCATCCGGGGGCGCAGCAAGCCGCCGCTGAGGAGAGTAATACCGAACGGCCGATCTCCCACTGCTGGCGCGGTCCAAGGTGGGCAGGCAGCAGGCAGCAGCCAGTGGACTGACGCGCAGGGGGCGGCGCTGTCACCCCGAGGCCCGACGCATCCATGGGGGGGCGTGGTGTTGTGGACCCCCAAGGAGCCGCTGACCGCGGCTGAAGAAGGGGAGGAGGTGCCGCGCCCGAAGTCTCAGCTGCTCCGAGAATCCAGGGTCGCGGAAACCGCCGCACTAGGTCGGGTGAAGACGAGAGAGGACGGGGCGAGCACGGGGGGGGGAGGCAGACGGTCCTTGGCTGACAGCACCGGGACGCAGGGCGTCTTGAGCCCCGCGGGCCCCTCCCCGCCGGGGGGGGCGACGGGGCGGGCACCCAGGGATATGGCCGCTGGACAGGAGCACGCGGGATCCTTCACAGTCAGCGCGGCGCCACGACGTGGGGCCGCAACGGCTACTGCGGGGAGACGACCAGCCACTGTTTTTTGCCCTTCCTGGGTGCGTGGGTGTCCGGGTGGCCCTTTGCCGCGCGGTGACCCCTGCTCGCTCCGCCGCTTCGACCCGGGCGCCGCTGCCGCAGCCGAGCCCAGTCGACGCCAAGGCCCAGCGCGTCGCTGACGGCCCGTGCGTCGCACTTGTGGCTGCGGAAGGAGCCCAAGAAGCGAAGGCAGGTTTGCGGGTCGCGCCGAAGCGGGTGGAGCGCGCCTTTGCTGCCAGGCACGGCCTGCTGCTTGGCGAAAGCGTGCCAGGTGCCTGTGAACGTTGCCCCCAGGGTGACTTGGAGCCGCCTCGTCGCCTCGCCGGGTGTCTCCCCGGGAAGGTCCCACTGGATGTTGTCGACCTTTGATTTGTACAGCTGCTGTCCCGTGTCGGGGTCTGAGGACTCTGGCCATTGGCGCGGCTCTGGCCATCGGCGCTGCCGCGTGTTCTGGCCGCAGGTCTCCGGCGAACCGGCCCCGCTGCCCTGGCCAGAGGGCTCGCAATCTGCTCGCGACAGTTCCTTTTGCACGCCTGGCGGGGCCCTGCGGGGAGATGCGGGCCACATAGTTGGCCGCCAGGCAGGGGCCGGATCGCCTCCGGCAGCCCGGGCGGACGCTGCTCTGCGGTGCGCGGGGAGAGAGGCCCCTTTCGCTGGCATTCGCCTTCGGGCCTGCGCCCGCCGTCGCTCACGGGCGCGCCCCCTTCGGTCAACGCGGGGCTCTCGCCGGTCTCGGGGGCGCCGCTGGTCGCGCGCACGTACGGCGACACCGTTTCCGTTGCCAGAGCACAAACTTCTTTGTCAGTCGTGCCATGGGCGTCTGGAAGGAGCGCCTGAGGTTCGCCGCCCGTTGAAGTGGGTTCACTGGCAGGGGAAGCGGGGCGAATAGGCGCGAAGGGGTTTCTCCCGACGAGCCGGCGGATGGCTTCGATGTCCTGCGTCTGAACGGCTGGTCCGCGGTCCCCCTGTTGGGTCTGTGGCGTTCCCAGAGGACTGCTGACGGTCTGCTTATTTTGTGGAGAAAGTGGGGGTGGCACGATGTGGCAGGCGAGCCCCTGCTGGTCCAGGATCTCGCTTAACGGCCCGTTGCGGCTGTCGTCTGCACTTTCGGGGGCCAACCCCTGTCCACCCGGTTCTGCTCCAGGGACACGGGTGACGGCTTGTGCCTCTTCCGCATCTTCAAAGGCCTCCGCTTCGGGCTCCCGATATTCCGCGGCCTCCGCCGCTTCCGCCCATTTCGCCGCGGCCCCCCTCTCCTTTTCCCTGCCATGCTGCTGCTGCTAATGAGGGAGCAAGGGTACCTCCGTGTGACCTTCGGAGGGAGTGTCCTGAGGTGTTGTGGGGCCCTCGTCACAAGGGGTGCCGCTGACGGCCGTCTGAGCTGTTGTGGGTCTCTGTTCGCCCGGGTCGCCGCTGGCTGCCGCAAGAGTGCTTGAAGACTCTTCGCCTGCGTCTTCTTGCCCAGTCTGCTGGCCGTCAGGGGTGTCCGGAAGGGCGTCAGGGAGCGGGGGTACATCCTTCTGACCCGTTCCGTTCCCTTCCCCTGTGTTGTTCTGCTGCTGCAGCACCTGTAGCTGCTGCTGCGGCTGCGGTTGCGGGTGCTGCGGCTGTTGCTGCCGCTGCTGCGGCTGCTGCTGCTGCTGCAGCTGCTGGGTTTTTTTGCTCCTGCTGCTGCTGCTGCTGCTGCTGCCCTGCTGCTGCGGCTGCTGCTGTTGCTGCTGTCGCTGCTGCAGTTGCTGCAGCTGCGGCTGCTGCTGCAGGCGCCGCAGCTGCGGCTGCTGCTGCTGCTGCCGCTGCTGCGGTTGTTGTTGTTGTTGCTGTCGCTGCTGCCGCTGCCGCTGCTCCTGCAGGTGCAGCTGCAGCGGCTGCTGCTGCTGCTGCTGCGCGGCCGCCGCGGCGGCGCCAGCTGCGGCGGGCCCAAGCGCGGCCGCGAGGTCCACGGCGGCCGCGGCGCTGGCCGCGTGGCCCGCGGCCGCCGCGGCGGCCGCCTCCGCCACGGCGGCGGCGGCGGCGGCGGCGGCAGCCGCGGCGCCCGCGGCGCCGGCGGCGCCCGCGGCGCCCGCGGCCCCGCCGGCGGCGGCGGTGGCAGCGTCGCGCCCGGCGAAGTTCGAGGTTCCTGACTCGAGTTCCGCTGCTCCAGGTTGTCTAGTGTATGTGCATTGCTCGAGTTCCCTCGTCATACATTGTTCAAGTTCCCTTGGCATTCAAGCCTTCACAGATGGATTATCCTGACAGGTGTTCACAGGAAAAAAAAGAAAAAGAGGATGAGGACAAGGAGGAGGAAAGAAAGAGGAAACACCTAGTTAAAGTCGTCGTAGTCGTCGGCGTCTCCCTCGGCTTCGCCTTCCACATAGATTCGCTGACATTCAGATATTGGCAAGGACAATGTCTTCTACCAAAGCATGTCATCACTATGAGATACACATTTGGGGATCTTCGCGTCGAGTCGTTTTTTTGTCTCGAGCGCTGCTGAAATCATCCGACGTCCTTAGCGCTGAGCGTCCTTGATGAACAACAGGCTCACTGGTGAAGACAGCAGCAGGACAATGCCGCTTCCGGGGAAGGAGCAGACCAGCACCAATGGTCCGATAGAGTGCCTGAGACTAAAGTCAGATGAATATGTTGACGGTGGTTCTTTCATCGCATATGAGCACATCGGAAGCGAACACGCATTCACGCGCACAGAAGCACGCGAGAAAGGCCAGGGAATGCTCTAAAAATGGAAGACGGCTCATGCATGCGGGGAGGACGACGAGGAGGAGGAGGAGGAGGAAAAGGAGGAGGAGGAGGGGATATAAACAAGTTCTCCTGCGAGCCCGCGGGCCCCGACTGCGGACTGTCGCAGTCCGTGGAGCCGACTGTCGGCTCAAGAAGGTGTGCGGGGGAGACAGGAGGAAAAGAAACTGCGGGCGCGGCCTGTGGCGGGCACCCGAAAGAAGAGGCTCCAGAGCCCCCCCTCGCATTCGCGAGGGATGGCAGCTCTGTTGGCCCGATGTGGGAAAGCCTCCGTAAATACATATATATATATATATATATACACAACGCCAGTCGCTCTGGGCGAACCTCCCGCCACCAGGGTAGAAGTGCCCCTCGGAGCTTCGAAAAAGTGCCTCAGCCAAAGTTCCGAGCAACCTATTGAACCCTCCTGACACCGGCCGCCGCTTATGAGCACCGGGCCCTCGGTGCTGCTGCGTACACGGCCAGAGTAGACTGCGAGCGCGCATGAAAGGCTGACCAGAGCCACAGGAGGAGTAGGAGAACGAATCAATAGTAGACATACAAAATGCAATGCTGGCTGTACCAGGCGATCGGCAAGACAAGGAGGAGCTGAAAGTTCGCGAGCGGAGAAGGGAGATCATGAAATAATGCTGCATGCAAGATTTATGTCAAGATGCTGGCGCAATGTGAGAAACACGAGTCCCTGTGCGGATCCTTACGATCAGTACCCACCAACAAGGGTGGTGGACGAGAAGCCGGTCAGATGCATCCGGTACATGAGGCCACTGCTCCAACCTCTGTCGTTGTGACCAGAGGCTGCTGCATCCACTTGCAATCCCATACGCTGTTCTTCCGATAACTGCCGTTCTCGGGAATGTCAAAGCACTTCTCGCCGAGAGTGAGCCGCTTCTCTACGTCTGTGGCAAGGAGGCTCGCCAGCAAAGCCGTGAAATTCGGAGAGAAGACCTCGGCCAGACTCTCGCCGGCGCCCTTGCGCAGCCGACGCTTGCCGAGAAACTTCGTGAAACCGAACATGCAAGCGTACTCGAAGAGCTCGCAAGTATTCCGCTTGGTAGATTTCCAAGGGTAGTCCTGCGCGGCCATGGCGAACAGCACCACACCAAGCGAGAATGGGTCTGTCATGATGTTGTCGTAGGGCTGCGACGAATGGACCTCTGGGGCTTGGTACGACTGCTTCCCCACGCCGGACGACGCCGACGCCACCCGGTCCAGCGTGGCCATTCCGAAGTCTATGATCTTGATCCTCAATGCACCGTTCTCATTGTGGAGCAATATATTCTCCAGAGACAGATCCCGGTGAGCGATTCCAAGGTCATGCAGCCATCTCACCCCCTTGAAAATCTGACTCGCGAGAGGGTGCATCGCTGCCTCCCTCCTTAGGCCAGGCTTCGGCTCGCGGTCGCACCAGGCGAAGAGGTCGCCCTCGGACGCCAGCGAGCTGACTACGTAGGTGCTCTTCGTCTTCGCGTCCGCGAACACGCCCAGCAGCTTGACAGAGTACGGGTAGCTGATCTCGTTGAGGCGCCTGGCGAGGCCCACGTCCATCCACGGCCTCTCCACGGCGTCCGGGTGCCGCGAGTCGAACTCGTCTGGCGAGTCGCAGATCCACCATGTCGGCATCCTTTTCACGGCCACGAAGGTCCCACTCTCGCGCATGAGCTCCACACAGCCGTGGTTTCGCTTGGCATCCTGCAGCTGCTTCACTCTCCTAAACCGACGGCCATCCCAAGGCAGGATGCCAGCAGCTGACGCGTCCATGCATTCCCGCAACATGCTGGCAGTGAGCGGTTCGACCGCGTTTGCCTCTGGCGCGGCCTCCTCCTCCTCCTCCTCCTCCTCCTCCTCTGCCGTCTGACCGATCGCGGTGTCCGTGTTGTCCACCAATATGTCCAGCTGTTTAGTCTTCGCGGGCCCGAAGAATAGTTCCAGCACGCCACCGAGCAGCATCATATGGTCGACACGTGTCGCAGCACCAGCAAGCGAGGGCGCGCTTACGACCTCGAGGAGAGTCAAGCTTGAGCAAAAAAGGCTTGAGCCAGAATGGCTACGGAAAGAGCTGTAAAGATGGAGGGCAGCTCCTTTTCAAAATGTGGCTGCCGCCTTCTTCAAAATGGGACCCTCGCTGGAGACCCCCCCTTAGGCTTGAAGACAAGAATCTTCAACAGGTGTAGCAGCTGCACGGATGGATGTGACACAGTTACACGGGTGCGGGACGGTCCTTTTTTCCAAACAGGGGTCTCGCTGACACCTCGTTGAGCTACATGGTCATGTTTTGTCGCAGTCCTGGCGATGCTCCGGGAGGATGCAAAGTGGCTCCATTTTCAAAACGATCCTCTTCTCGCCTGACTGGCAGGCCCATAGGGCGTTGGTCTTTCAGGGGGGCACCCTTTGTAGTGCAAGGGAGGCCTGTGGGAAACTTTGCAGGGGGGGGCTGAGGACCGGCGGGAGCATTGCAGCACCGCTGACACATCTTGGACCTACTCCGGTCCTGATCCCTCTCTCCACATCTGCCTCCGGCCTGGGTAAGCTCCCCGACAGCATGCCCAAAATGAGCACGGCCGAGTCGACATTCGGCGTGCAGGCCTAGGAAAAAATTGCTGGAGGGGTCGGCAACACGCGGGGGAGCGACCCTAGGAAAGAGTGACCTTGGGTACCCTGCTTGCCGGTCGTCGCATGCGACTCGACGGCAGCGGCCTGCGTGGTTCGGCTTGGGCTCCCCGCGCCCGCCCGAAAGCCGCGGATTGAAGGCCACTCTGGCGAAGGGTCACTCCTACGTGCAGCCGATTGGGCGCGAATGGATGGGGGGGCGTTAAATGGAGCGAGGGCTGCAGCAAAGGGGCCCCCGTGGGGCCCCTACAGGGGCCCCTCTCGGGCCCCCGAGGAGGCCTCTAGGGCCCTGGGCCCGAAAAAGGCACCCTTCTCCCATTTCTCGCCCCCGTCACAAGTTCGCGCCCAAGCCGCAGGGTGCTGGGAGACTCCGGGCCGGCCCCCTGAAAGCTGCAGTCGTGGCGCTGTCGCACGGAACGCTGCACCAGGAACGAGGGTGGATCCGTGTACCTCCTCCTCCTCCTCCTCCTCCTCCTCCTCCTCCTCCTCCTCCTCCTCCTCCTCCTCCTCGGGCCTCCGGGCGCCTCGGCCACGAAGGGGCTCCCCGGCCGAGGTCTGAGTGGCGGCCCGCTAAGCAGAGCCCCTCTTGAGCCCAGCGTGGTCCTGCTGCAGCGCCGCGGCTGCAGAGCGGAGTCCTCTGGGCCACCGCGGGGCTCCAAGCGCGAGGCAAACGGGCAGGGGCTGCCTGCTCCCCGCCCGGCCGGCGAGCATCTCCTGCAGCTCACCCGTAGAATAAGGGCGCACGATGAGTACGCAAGGGCCTTGGAAGGCCCTGTCGACACCTTGCGAGCGGGGCGCGCGACCAGCAGAAGCGGCCGAGGATGGGCCGAAGGGAAAGGATGCAAGGGCAACTTTAGAAAGTCGCTCATCCCTACTAGGCGGGTTGACTGTAGCTCGCTGGGTGTTCGCCGGCTGGTTGAGCCCCTGTGCACGCGTCTGTCAGCGCGAAAGACCCGCAGGCGCGGACGATCCCGTCCTGAGGGGGCCCAGAAAACCTGCAGGAGCTTCCAATGCCTCCAGATGCCCCCATCTAACCTCGAAGCACATCTCAAAAAAAACGACGTCGTCAACGACGTCGTCGTCGTCGTCGACGACGACGACGACAACGACGACGGCGGCGGCGGCGGCGACGACGAAGAAGGTTCTTAAAAGATCGGCGAAACCGTTCTCACGCTCCTTCTGCTCCCCGAAGCCGAGCTCTGGGGCTGCTCAACCGCCTCCTCCTCATCCAAGTCCTTATCCCCGTCCCCGTCCCCGTCCCGATCCTCGTCGAAGGTTTTCGACTGAAAGTCTTCGGGGCATTCTGCGTTTTCACCGAATTTCGAAAGTTGCTGGAGGTCGTCGGAGATCCTCGAAAATTCTTGAATGCTCCAAAGGAGGTACTCGGCGGTCGTCGACGTCGTCGTCGTCGTCGTCGACCTCGTCGTCTCCGTCGTCCGCGTCCTCGCCGTCGTCGACCTCGTCGTCGCCCTTCTCCTCCTCCGCCTCCGCCTTCCCGTCGTCGTCGGGCCTCGAAGTTCTTGAACAGGATGTTCCACCTGAAGCTCCTGTTGGTGACGCGCCAGCAGACGTGGATCTCCTCCTCCGCCTCCTCCTCCTCCTCTTCCTCGGCCTCCTCCCTTCTCTCGAGCGCCTCAGGCGGGCTTTCCCCTGGCAGACTGGGGACACGTCCGAGACCCAGCAGATGTTGTTGGAAGCCAGCATGCGACCTGCATGCTTCGGCGGTGGACAAACCTCCCTTTAAGAGACCTCCCCTTAGTGACGGCGGCCTGGGACCGAAATCGACGGACCTGGACCCGCAAAAATGACGGCCGCGACGCCCTCTCGCGAAATGAAAGCGGCCAATTCCTTAATCGACGTGTCAGGGTAGGAGGTCTGTCCAGCCCCGAATGCTCCACTGGCTGCGGTGTCGAGGCCGTCCGTCTGGGGAGTCCGGGTGGGTCCTCCCAGGCTGCCAGGCGACTCGGCGAGCCAGGCCCCCTGCCGCAGGCGGGACACGCAGGGTGGTCGTGGGACGTCTGTCGGGATATGTGTTGATTCGCTTGCCCCGCCACCCGCAGCTCCAACTGCCACGAATCGCATTCTCGCACACGCCTGTGTGAAGAAG